CACAAGACAGTGAACTAGCAACAGTGACAATATATGGCAAGTATTTTTCCTTTTCTCTGAGTTCAACAATGGACCATGTTTTATGGAAGAAATAAGGTACGAGAGGCCTCAGGTACCTTATTACATTTATAAAATGGTTACCACACAATACAATTATTAAAGCTAATAAATGTGTAATTTCTTTTTTTTTCTTTCTTTTTTTTTAAAGTAAAATCATTGTCATCCATCTGCTAGAAAGATAGTCCTTAAGAGTAAATGGCAACAAAATGTTCCAGGGCATACATGGTGCGATTATTATTATAATTTTTTAATCCAAGTTTGAGACTAATTTTGACTCCTGAGACTTTTTTTTTTCAAAGTATCAAAAAGGTGAATGACAGCCCTAATGCCAGCAGGTGTCGCTCATACTTAATTAAATAATAAATAAAGAGTTAATATTGCTGAAATACAAAATAGATGGAACTGTTTTGACTAGCCTAAATTGATTCTCTTTGTTGCTAGGTGTTGTGCAGGTATACACCGAACTGTTCTTGGAAGTCGTCAGTCATGTTTATGCTAATGAATTGGCTTCAAGGACAGGAATTATCTGTTTTATTAAATCAATTAACTGTTCATACATTAGAACGAAACATTTTTTTTCATTTTGAATTTTTGTCATTTTACAGAAAGACCAAAAGCCAAAGTGACCATTAAACCTGATCAACATGTATTCAGAGGAGAGACAGTCACTCTCAGATGTGACATTGATGGTGAAGGAGTCACTAGCTGGCAGTACAGCTGGTATAAAGACGGTTCAGCTAATGCTTTTAGTGAACTACAGGTCTGTTACGGAGTGTGATGCAGGTAAATACTTGTGTTATGGAGCAGAGAGAGGAGGATCACGCAGCTCACAAAACAGTGATGCACTTAGACTGATGGTATCAGGTGCGTTTGATCATCTCTTCATATACACAAACAAGTTTAACATGTTATTAATGAGTGACTCCTCAATTCCAGATCTCAGAGAAGTTTTAAGTGTTTCTCCACAGAAGTGGGTGACTGAAGGAGATCCAGTGACTCGGTTAACAGCTCCTCTAAAGACTGGACATTTAGCTGGTACGCTGTAACGATTTCATCTGGTAAGATATAATGTGCTTAATTTGTTAATATTAATATTTAATGTCAAAAATATTATTTAATATGAATATGATAATATATCAACAGTATTACGTTGGGTTCATGAAGTGTCATTTCAGTGCCACAAAAAAAAAAGGTCAAAGGGAAAATTTTCAAACGAGTAGTCCCATCCTAAACGCACACAGTTAGAACAACAATACTGTGTCTGACTGGTCTGCACAAATGGAGCAATGTTTTTATAGTGCCATAGAATCAGTGTTTACACTTTTCAGAGAAATCAACCTATGAATGGCTTGCATATAGTCATTTCTGCATATTAGAACAGGATTGGGGACAGTAATTTAAGATTGTATTACCTTTAAAGGTCAAATCAGGTATAGACATATGTGGTGATAGCTACACATTCTCACTTCATGCAGACTGCAGTCATCATTATAAGCTGCTCTCAGACAGCAGTAGAGGAGCTGGAGGAATCTACACTGTCAGTTCTGCTGCTCTAAATCACTCAGGAGTTTATGTATGCAGGGCAGAGAGAAGAAAACCAGCTTATTATACAACCATCAGCTACCAACAACCACTATGGGTCACTGGTGAGTTCAAACAGAATTTAAAAGATTGGTTCATATTAAGTAAAGAAAATGTCCATGATCAAATCTGAAACGTTGTAGCTGTAACTTCCTACTCAGGTTGTTCTCCTCCAGTCTCTCTGATCATCAGTCCCAGCAGAACTCAACACTTCACATCTGTCTCTCTCTCTCTGAGCTGTGAGGACCAGAGTAACTCTGATAGATGGAGAGTGAGAAGATACACAGAGAGTTGGGGGCTGCAAGATTGTTCGTCATCACTGTGGGGATCACAAACAGGATCTACATGTACAATCAGCTCGATTATTGCATCAGACACCGGAGTGTACTGGTGTCAGTCTGAATCCGGAAAAAAATATCATCCTGTTAATATCACTGTACACTGTAAGTCTGTATTTCTGTATTTATTCACTTCGCTGGCCGTTTGTAAATCAATACATAAAGCAAGTTGATTAAATAAGTTCAGGAAACAATAGATCAGGGGTCTTCAACCATTTTGAGCCTAAGGACCAAATGCTACTGTACAAACTGAGTTGCTTTTTAAGGCTGGCTTTAAATAACTTTTGTATAGCAATGTGTTCACATGCTCTGTGTCAGGAAATATACAGACACAGGATGGAGAGTGAACCCAATCACAGGTATTTATTGACAGAGAGAGTAGTCAAAACACTCAGCTTGGAAAACATGCAATGTCTTTACTGGTTCCCACTCCTATGTAATCTCCCTTGTCGCCTGTGAATTCATGTAATCACTGAAGAAACGGGCAAGTATCAATATGTAAGGCAAAGAGAGTCTTAGTGTCCTTGTTTTAGTGGCCAGATATTAACTGAGGGTCAGTTATGAGCCGGAAACCCTGATGTCATGGCCAACCCTGTTTATCACTCTTTGTTTGGGCCATCCTCCTCCCAGTTGACCAAGTACTCAACCACTCCAACTTTGGCAATCGAGAATCACTTGGATTGCGTACACCAGCCCATCATCCAGGAGTAGTGGAAAAGGACCATCAGCCGTACTGGGCTCTGAGGAAGGAGGAAATGAGAAGGTTGATGAGATATTAAAAAAGTATACATGGAAGGTGGGATGAATCCTCTACTGAAATGAGGAGTTGTAGTTGAAATGTGACTGCAAGATGGTCAAGGAGCCTACGAACCGGGGACTTTTCCCAAAGAACTTTCGGCTAAGCAGCCAGAATCTGATGTCTCTGGTGGAGAGCCAGACCAGACCATACGACACAACCCAATATTCGTAGTGGCCTGTAGGGGTCACAAAGGCGGTCTTCAACTCGTCCTCCCTTCATATTCCGACAAGTTGTAGGTGCTTGCACAGAGCTTTATAAATTCCGTTGCTCATCTAAATAATTCAAGGACCACAGGGATAAGGAGTGGATACCAGAACTTGATGGTGACTTGGTTAAGGGCACTGTAATCAATGTAGATCCTCAAGACTTTTCTCAGTTTTGGAAGTGAAGAAGCTAAAGTGGAATGTGGCAGGGATGTATCCTTGGCGTAGAGCCTCTTCAAAATACTCCTCCATGACCTTTTGTTTGGAAAGTGAAAAGGGGTAGATCCTCCCTCTTTGCAGAGGCTTACCTGGTTACAGCTCAATGGCATAGTCCCATGGTCTATGAGGGGGAAGTTGTAAGGCCCGTTGTGTACAGAAGACATCCAAGTAGCAATGATAGATGGCTGACTTTCAATGGAGCAATCACTGATCTTGATGAATGGCTTGAGAGACTGATGTTGAGTAGTGGTTTGAGAAGGTCTTGGAAGCGGGGTGATGCAGTCCTAGAAACAGTTCCTCCCCTACTCCAGTATCTCACCAGTCAACCAAGAGATGATGGGAGAGTATTGTGACAGCTAGGGACACCCCAGAAGAATTAATTTGAGGTAAAAATCCAATTTGTAGTTTGACTGGGATCATGTGGTGATGACTGAAACCTTTTTCAAGGGGTTTTCTAGTTGTGTATTGAATTAGGATTACTGCACTGTACTGTAGAGGATAGAGAGATAAAGTTGCCGGCACAACTGGACTCAAACAGGGCCGATATATTTAAGGAGATGTAGCCAAAAGTAACACTTACTTTAGTATGAAGAGGTGAGTGGATAACCGGGGAATAATTGATGGGACTCACCGTGGGGCATGGAGGTCTAACAGGGCACTCTGCCATAAAATGTTCACCAGCTCCACAGTACAAGTTTAATCGATTAGTTAAGCAGTGCAAGCACTCAGCAGGGGTTAATTGAACATACACAGACTCATCCATGGGTTCTGGAGGGTGAGTTGATGGTGGGCAGGATATCAACATTGATTGCAGGGTAGAATGGCTGTGGAGGCATGATCTCATACGATGTGACACTCAATTGAACAATTGGATGAATCTCTCCAACCCCATAGCATTGTCATACGAAGAGAGATACAGTCTGACTGTTTATGTCCTTGGCGATATGTGGTTAGGCCAGCTCATTCCATTTGTTCATATCCAGAAAGACCAGGACTGACATAACAAAAGGTTGTAGTGGTGATGGTGAAGTGGTGGGGCTGGTGAGAGCTTGTACAGAGTTGTTGGACTAGGATCCTTGTGAGCATCAAAATCCATTCCTGCTGGGTTCATGTAGTTGGTCTGGCCTTTTTTCGGGAAGTGGCTTGAGAATGCAGTTAAATCACTGGGATAAACAGGTAAGTATCAGTATATAAGGCTATGAGTCTTAGGGTGTACTCGCACTAGGTGATCCTGAACCCTGAGCATGTTTGACCCCCTAAGTCTTGTTCATTGGACTAGTGTTATCACTCTGGACCGTGCCCTGGCCCACTTGAGGAGGTGGGCTTGGGAACGGTTCGATTGGGCTCAGGCGTGGTACGCACATAGTGTGACAATCACACTCGGGCTTGGTACAAGACAACTGTGCCTAGTGTGAGTACGCCCTTAATGTCCTTGTTTAAGGCCAGATGCTGACTAAGGGTTTGTCGTGAGCATTTTTTTGCGGTCTTTGATTTCACCAGTATTGATTATGAGGTGAGATTGATCAGAACTCTTGTGAGTTGGAGTAGGGAGAGCCCGGCATGAGTGTGACAATGCTTACACTGCAAATCCATTAGTAATATTCATCATTATTGATGTGTACCTAGGGCTCACAGACCTCCTGTTGAAGAACCCCCTAATTAGACAAAGCTCATATTCTGTGTTAGGATCATTAAGATATTTTTTTTTGTCACCATGCCTCCATATATATATATTTCTCTGTTTCTGTAGTTTTTGTGATTCTGGAGAGTTCTGTTCATCCTGTGTGATCATCTCTACTGTCTCAAAGTCACATGAGGGTTTCTACTACTGCAAACACCCAGAGAGAGGAGAGTCACCCAAGAGCTGGATCTCTGTTAAAGGAGTCTCAAATGAATGCTGCTGCAAATGTGAGCTTATTTATTTCTTCATATGCTCTTGTTCAGATATAGTGCTAGATAAAGTGTTTGTGTGTCTCTTTTTCAGTGTCTCATTCAGAATCTCAGATCTCTGTCCTCCACACACTCAGTTCTGTACTGGCAGTTTGTCCATATCTGCTAGTGACTGTCGTGCTGATTTTCAAATGCTGCAGGATGAGAGGTAAAACAGCTAACTGATTTATTAGATGTTATAATCACTATATTTAATTTCAATAATCATCATATTTAAATAAATTACAAAAAACAACATTTTACAAATTTACATTTTTGGGTGAACTATCCCTTTAATCTAGTTCAAATATGATGGTAGTAGTGCACAAAAGCAATACATTAAGATAGAAAAAACGCATGCATGCCAATAAGTAAATGCTGAAAAGTTTGTTTTTTGTGTGTATTTAACCGTTTCATGTTGAAGAGGAAGAAACTTTAATTTAATCTGTTGTGATGGTGAGAAAACTACAACTTCATCTTAAATGCAGAACGATTTTAGCAAATGGCTGCAATATAACAAAGAGTGAAAAATTTAAGGGGGTCTGAATACTTTCCGTACCCACTGTAAGAATAAGGGTCAATTTTTTATGTAATATTGACTTTAACCAGCCCTAATCAAACACACCTGAACAAGCTAATCAAGGTCTTCTGGATTATTAGAAAGTTACTGTCTGCGAGTTTGATCAAGGATGAACAGATTTACACCTGGTTTAACCCATTTGGATCTTGACCAATAAAATATTGGTAATATGGACAAAACCCCTCTGCACGTTCATGAACTTCACTGAGCTTTAGCATCACAAGTACATCCCAATCAGTTCAGTTCATATCATCCCAATGGGCATTTATTTTGATCTTTTAATGTTTATATTTTGACTTTCCCTATTGATTTAACTCGTAAATAAAAGTTTAATATTTCTTTTTTTTTGTTCTATTTTAATATTATGACACATCATAACCACATTAACATAACCTGCAATTTGTAAGCATGTGTATTCCTTATTTTATTGTCTCTTGTATTGCTGCAATATTTTATGTTTTTAACATTTTTTTTTATTTTTTAATAAAGAAAAAGTGTATTTTTAAAAAACATTCTGGAGCTGATGCTTTGTTAAAACTTGCAGTGTCACAGTAAGAGCAGAAGAACAATTACTTCTCACTATAATGAATCAGGATTTATTCTCTAAATGTCTATTTAGGAGATTGCAGCATAATGCTACAGTAATCTAAATTATTACGGTTGGTATGCAGATAAAATGATCACATTTTAAATAATTCCTGAACATGCATTTCTTGTATCTACAGCCAATTCACATGTACTAATTTTTATACTGTCAGGATCTCCAACTGGAGTGCCCATGAGATCCTCTAGAGGGCACTTTATCCTTAACCTGTACCATTGTTTCACGGACTACATTTCCCATGACACCCCATGCCAAGTACTGATTACACCTACAGCTGTTTCCAATTAGAAGGACTATTTAAGTTGCACTCATTCACATTCACATGGTGAAGTATTGTTTTGCTGTCGTGGACTCTGCCCAGCGTTTTCATTTGCCATTGCCATAGCCATAGCCATTGCCATTGCCATTGCCTTGTTTTATTGATTTGTTCATTTATTACTTTGGACTGCTCACTTGGATTGACCCTTGAATGTTCCTTTAGATTACTCTTTTGCCTCTGCCTAGGATTAAATTTTTTGCTGGATATTGACCTTGCCTGTTTGACTATGCCTTTTGTGTAATAAAGCTCGCACTTGGTTCTACCTAAAGAGTCCCCGTTACATATGCATCCTGTTGTTCTGACTGGCATGAAAAAAAATGCTGTATACTAGTGTTCACATGGTAAGAACTAACAGTTGTGGTGGTTCTAGAACACTACTGAACATGAACGCATGGTGTTGAATGCTAAATATGTGTTTAGAGTTGGGAAACAGGAATAATGTTAATAGTTTGGAGAAATAGTTTAGAAAATGCTAATTTAGTCTATAGCATTTTAGTAATATTTGCCTAATCTAATGGATCTTAGTATCTAAGCAATTGAGCAAAACTAATAAAGTTGGAGACGTATGAAAAACCTTTAACCCAAAGTATAAGCAATAGTAATATTGATGCTTAGCAAAAGCACCACTAATAAAATCTGTGCTGAGTTTCATTCTGCTTTAAGCATGCACACGTATACACACACAAACACAAAATCTAATGTGAGCACTTTTTCACATGGTTTAATCTTCCAGTGCTTCCTCTTTCACCCTCAGTCTCGCAGTTAAATATCATTATACAATTTAGGGAACATTTCATGTCTGTTGATGATAATTATGTACTTTAAATCAATTTTCTTTGTAAAAACCATATTTTAGCAATTAAGGGAAAGCATATTATAACGTCAGACAAATATTTTATGCACCCTATTTTTCAGTGTGAAATTGCATAGATATCCCTTAACGAAAATGTGCAATCAGCATCATATATATATATATATATATATATATATATACAAACATACACAGTTATTCAAATAATTAAGTAGACAGATTCACTGAGAGGAATGGGCATAATAATCAGTATTATTGAACTCAACACCATCAGTGCCAGAGGCCTGATAAAGTAGAAATAGATAAAGAAGAGCTCATATTTCATAGTGGTTTATATGTTTGTTTGTTCTTTTAGCTCTGTGGCATTAGCCAACGAGGGAGAAGCAGTGTTTTGTTTGTTTTTTTTTCTTGTTTTTTACTAGTTCCTGGTCCTTTTATAAATATAGCTAATAACATAATTACAATAAAGATCAAAGTATTGTTTAAGTTTCCTTGTTTATTAAACTTCTGTCACGATGTTCCTAAAGATCTGACTGCAGGTTTCAGGAAGTCTTGAGGCTTTAACACAGTTTGTGTCTTTAACCGTCTGTCATCATTCAGTCAGTATGGAGCTCAGTCAACTTCCTCTTGTGCTCTGTGAGTATTATTTTATCTGAATATAGTTAAATGGATGATAATTGTTTTTATATTATGTAAAGGATCAAGTGATTTTGTGTTCCTTATTTTTGTCTTTTCTTCTAGTCCATGATATATGAGTGAAAGATGAGCTTGAGAGAGGAAGAGAAAGTTAGTGCTGCTTGTAAAAGATAAATTGAGTGTTATGTCAGTATCTCTGTTCAGTCTTTGGGATCTGTGCTGTTTAATGGTGTTTGTTGAATCAGTTCTGTTGGTTTGTTTTGCACAGTTTGCTGTCTGATGCTTAAAGTAAATGATAGTAACATTCACTAGTAAGTACGAAGGAAGATTCATAATTCATCCATCTGCTTGTGAACACACTGGTTGCTTCCTTAAACAAGTTCCCTAAACAAGTTCAAGTTCTCTCTGCTTTAATGATGAAAACTATAAAATATCAAACAGATTTTTCAGTGCTTATCTGGAAACACCTGTGATTAACCTTAGAAACCTTTGGAGAAATAAAAAAAAAATTGTGTTGTGAAGCTGAGAAATATTTGAGAGTAAAAGTATGGTGTTTCACAAGCAAAGAAAGAAGAATAAATGATATCTGATGTATAATATATATTATCAGCTCCATGCTCACACTGTAATGAGATTTTTGTGTTTTTAGTGCAAACATTCACTCTGGAAACACTGAAAGTGAATGAATTTGACTAATATATTTCATGTCTACACTGTTACAAAACAGTTGTAAAAAATTTTTTTTAATAAAGTACTTTGATTATCAATAAAAAATGCCAATTTCTTATTAAATATTACATGGTCATAACTCGTGCTTTTTGCCAATTTTATATTGACAGAGACATTCATAAACCAACTCTGACTGTGCACCTTACATAATGCACAAATTTCAAAATGTTATAATTTACACTGATAGTTTGATCTCTTCATACATGCACACACACATGTATCATATTATGCTCTTAAGACCCTGCGGCCTCATATGAGGACATTATATTTTTGTGAATTTCTCTGAGACTGTACATGCCACAGTTTTAAGTCTGGATGTCCTGTACAGAGCACATTCAGGGCAT